CAGTCTCATCATACCATAGACTAGGCCATCTAAGCCTGATCCTAGTTTGTCTGATGAACTTTATGGTTTTGGGCTTTACTCCCAGGTCTCTGATCCACCTTGAGTTGATTTTTGTGTATGGTGTGAGATGTGGATCCTGTTTCAGCTTTCTGCAGGTAGCAGTCCAGTTTTGCCAGCACCATTTGTTGAAGAGGTTGTCATTTCTCCACTGGCAGGTTTTATTTCCTGGTCAAATATCAGCGAGGACCCTCCTTCATAGGGTCTCTATGAGTTGCCTGTGATGTGACGGCACTTAACAACTTAACAGATGGGTCCATTTCTCGGTTCTCAGTTCTGATCCATTGGTCTGCGTGCCTGTCATTGTACCAGCACCATGGCTGTTTGGGTTACTACTGCTGTGTAGTAGGTTTTGAGGTCAGGGAGTGCTGTGCCTCCCACTTCATGTTTATTTTTCAGAAGTGCTTTGCTTATTTGTCATTGGGCTTCTTGACATCTGCTTTCTTGGTCACTGATTGTGAGTCCCATTAGAATTATCAAATCCCATTGATAACTTCACTCTTCATGATTTATCATGGTAACTATTTACTGGTCTGGTTGTGACAGTTTTTGTTTTCTTGATGTTGAGATATAGACTGTCTTTACTCTTGATGAAGTATTTCAAGACCTCTTTACTTTTAGCAGGCAAGATTCTGTTAGAAGCCTTTCATAGGTTGTTTATGAGTCTTTCTCCAGTCGTGATGCCTTCTTCATGAAGTCCAGCTTCTCAGATTATTTGCTCATAACTAGATAAGTAGGATGGAAGGATCCCTGGTGTACAACCTTCCTGAGTGTTCAGCCTCACGGGGCAGACACATCTCCTTTTGTTGTGCATATACTCTAGTGTAGTGTGAACACAACCTAAATGCATTGTTGTTACTGTTGTTGTTACTCACAGCGACCTTAGATGCACTTCTTGTTATGTATGACTACTCCAAACTCTCCAGTGGGGTTTCAGTGGCAGTAGCTTGCATGGGAGGAGATTGCCCGTCTTTTTCCTTTGATCCCAGTTTGTCTCAGTTTGGTAGATTTCAACCCACAAGCCTTTGGGTTGGTAACACAGTTCCTTACCACTAAGCCACCAGAACTCAGATTCATTTAGGAAAACAAAAAATTTATGCGACTTGCTCTGTTTCTGTAGCTGCTTCATTGTGTTGATTTAAAATCAAACCCACAGTGTCACTGAGGTGTGTCTGTAGCCCCTTGTTCTGTTTCAGCGGCCACCTTTTGACCTATGTTCAGGTTTCACGTGAGCAGAATTGTGTGTTCTGAAACTCCCATTCCTCTCAGTGTGTGTTAGCATATTCTGTTATGACCCACACAGTCTAACGCCTTTGCACAGTTGTTAAAACACAAGGAAACTTTTTTCCCCCAGTATTGTATGCCTTCAGCCAAGATCTGTGTGCTGTCAGCAGTGACATCCCTTGTCCACATCCTCTTCTGAGTCTAGCTCTCCAGAGCTCCCTGGCTGCTGTCAGATGCTGGATCATTGTCTCCCTCCAAGTGCTGAATCAGATAAGGCCCTTGCACATGTTTGATGGTGAGAGTTCAGACTGCGGCTGACGGCTCCTCGGCCCAGTTCATGGGCAGACCAGCACCTGGGTGGGTGTGAACTTTCTCTGTAGTGGTCAGTGTAGCTATCCTGTTTCAGTTGTAAAAATCAGGGCTTTTATAAACAGGAAAGCAGAGGGGTTTTTTGGGTATTGATCCCGCTTCTCTGCCTGATAAATGTTTTCATACACCTTATCTTTTACTTCTTCCCCCCCACCCCACGTGTGCCTCAGGAATACATTTAAATTAGGTGTAATCCTTGGTTCGCGTCATAGGCTCATGCGTAATCCTTTTTCCGCTCATTTTGTCTTTTGTAAATAATAGTAAAATGCATTCACGTGATACCACCACTGCTTCAAGAACTTCATGTTAACAACTTACATCCGTTCTTTGCTCCGTTCCTAGTCTGCCCCTCCCACTTTCTGTTGCCCATGTAGAGGTGCTATACAGTTAGTCTTAGTTACTGTCTCACTGTGGGAGGTTTTACATTTACTAAAATGTTGTTGTTGTTGTTATTAGGTGCCGTCTAGTCGCCTGTGACCCTGTGTACAACAGCCCTAAAACCTGCTCTATCCCTTGCCAATCTTATTGATTCCGACTCACCTATCCCCATTATCCCAGTCACTGAAACAGTCCATCTCATCAAGAGTCTTCCTTTCCTGCACTATCCCTCCACCCTCCCAAGCATGATGTCCCTCTCCAAGGACTCATCCCTCCTGGAGACATGTCCAAAGTATGTTAGAAGCTTCAGAATCCTTGCCTCCAAGGAGCAGCCTGGCTTCACCCTCTCTAGGACAACCTTGTTTGTTTTCCTAGCAGTCCATGGTATATTCAGTACTCTTCTCCAGCATCACAGCTCAAAGGCATCAACTCTTCTTCTATCATCCCTAGTCATTGTCCAGCTCTCTGATGCATAGCAAGTGATTGCAAAGATTATGTCCTGGATCAGGTGCACCTTAGTCTCCAGACTGATGTCGTTGCTCCTCAGTACCTTAGAGAGGTCTCTTTATAGCAGACTTTCCCAGTGCAATTCATCTTTTAATTTCCTGGCTGCTGGTACCAAGAGTGTTGATTGTAGAGCCAAGCGTAAGTTGTGAACAATTCCAGTCTCTTCACCATCTATCATGATACTGCCAATCGGCCCAGTGGTGAGAATCTTTGTTTTCTTGATGTTGAGCTTCAATCCATATTGAAGGCTGCAGTCAGTCATCCTCCACAGCAAGTGCTTCAGGTCCTCCTCAGTTTTAGCAAGCAGGGTTATATCATCTGCATAACGCGGGTTGTTGATGAGTCTACCTCCAATCCTGATGCCACACTTCTCCTCATAGAGCTCAGCCTCCCAGATAATCTGTTCCACATAGAGATTGAAAAGGTATGGTGGTATATTCGCACAATGGAATACTATGCTGCATTGAAAAACAAGGAACTCATGCAATATTATTCAAAATGGTTGACTCTGGAGAACATTATGC